TTTTTTTTTTATTCAAAAGCCTTGAAAATTGATGGTTCAGACAGAATGACTTCGTCTCTTTCTGTACAGTAAGGTCGCAGTCGCATATCATCTAGAGTTATTATTATTACTATTTTTAGCATTACTAATATTATTATAATTATTATTCTGGTGTTTGTTTTTTTTACATTTATTTAATTTTACGATGTTCACCTTTTTTGTTTTGTCAATAAGCATATTGGCTTATTATAAATTTGTGATATCTCTGTTGCGTGTAGTTTACCTTGAACATTTTTGGTAATACGTATATATATACATATATCTATATATACATATTTTCTTCTGTCCAGATTCATCTGTTATTCTTCTTCTTTTTTTTGTCTTCTTTTCTATCGCTTCATTTTTGCCGTCATCGTCATTCGTCGTTTTCTTCTCCTTCTTCATTTTCATCTTCCTCCTTTGCCAATTCTCTCTCCCTTCTTCTATCAACATCATTCTTTTTTTGCTAATTATTTTCTTCGTATTGCGGGGATAGAAAATTTTTAGGGTATTTTAGAAATTATCTTTTTCCCAGATTTCTTACTTTTTCTTATTTTTCATTGAACAGCAAGGTTAAACAGATGAATTGACCAGATGAAAGGCAAAAACAGATATTTTTGTATGACTTGTATGACTGCTTTGCTTTAGAATCCAGAAATTCTTGATCTTTAAGTTCGGCTTTTCTTGCTTCTTTTTTTTTAGCCGTTTTTTAGTCTTACGGCTTAGTAACGTTTAACATAAATCTGTTTAATTTTGATGTATGTGAAATTTTTTTCTTAGAAAAAGGACTCTTTTGTCTAAGCATTATTTAAACGGTGTAATTTGTCATTTTAATATTTGGAAAATGTGTAATAAGTTTTTTTTCTCGTCTATTTTTTTAATCTATCTGTACTCGGCTATTAATCTATCTATTTGTCTATCTATCTATCTATATATATATATATATATCTGTCTGTCTAACTGGGAGGGACTATTTAGCTAATCTTCTATAACTGGAACTTTAAATTCGCAAGATTTTTCAATTTTTTATTTACTCTTTGCCTAAAAAGGAGGGAGATTTTTTAA